CAAGTCTCAATGACTGTGCTACGGAGCAGATGATCACAGAACCTACCAGGGGAGAGGCGATCCTGAATTTGGTCCTAGCAGGGCTCTTTTTGTAGAAAAAGCCCAACAGGAACTCATTAGCATAATAGGCCACACCCAACAGCAGGAACTCATTAGCCTATTAGACCACACCCCTGACAGCACAGCTCATTAGCTCATTAGGCCGCACCCCCATGTTACCAGAAGTGTGGTTATCCAGCCACCACCTTTTGCTTCTTATTCTGTTTACCTTGTTTGTTGTCAAAACCCAGGGCTTTTTTGTAGCAGGAACTCCTTTGCATGTTAGGCCACACACCCCTAATGTAGCCAATCCTAATGAGTTTCTGCTGTTGGGTGTGGCCTATTATGCTAATGAGTTCCTGCTGGGCATGGCTAACTCAGGAGCCAGCCGGAACTCCGTTCCTGTGCGTTCCTGCCCAAAAATAGCCCTGGTCCTAAGTAATGCCCAAGACCTGGTGAGAGATTTAAAAGTGATTGTACCGCTTGGGAACAGTGACCATAATGTTATTGAGTTCAACAATTGTATAAACAGGGAGTTGCCCAAAAAGACTGACACAACCACTTTTAACTTTAAAAGGGGTAACTTCTCTGAAATGAAGGGACATGTAAGGAGGAAAATGAAAGGAAAAGTAGAAAGGGTCTAAACCATTGGGGAAGCTTTTTTATTTTATTTTTTATAATTTTTATTGATTTTGGTTTGAATACAAAACAAAGTCAAACAGGTTAACAACTCAGTAATAACGGTTAAACAACATACCATGGGGAAGCAGTCCTTATACACAGCTTAAGGCACTAAAATATAATAGCTTACCATATTATGTAGAGGTATCCTGAACAATAGTGGTGTGCTATAGACAAGTGATTAATGCACGGTATTTCTGTGGTATACATTTTGATTCTGTTGCAAACTTAGCGAGCACAGTTAAATCTGAGTTGAGACCTTCCGCAGTTTCTGTGGAGTCAGATATTTTGTCCACTGCAAAGTATTCCCAAAGTTTAATAAACCAATGCAATATTGGTATTGGAGCTGAATTTTTCCAACTGGCAGCGATTATTGTTTTCGCCACTGCTAGCAAAAGAGAGATAAGTTCCTGTCAGATCCGGGGTATGTGGTTAGCACGCCATAAATCTAATAAAACCTGGTGTCTTATCAATATCTTTACCAGTGATTTCCCTGATATAGGTAAATATTTTTAGCCAAAAGTCCACTACATTTTTACAATCCCACCAACAATGAATAAATAAGCTGTCACGACCCCAGGGGGTCTCCACCTTCTGCCGCCACCACCCTGGACTTCGAGTCCCTTGAGAAGGCCCAGGGTACCCTCCCAAGCCCATCCAAAAATGCCCCCCTTTAAGCCAAGAACATAGGTGTGATGACCAGGCAGATAACAATGAAACAAAATGGATTATTAACACAGTACTGGGGCAAGGAAAACAAGACAAGGTGCTTTAAAAGATATAACAGTGTTTAAAAGGCAAAATAAACAGAACCTAATACGACTCCCTAGTTTGCTTAATTGGTTACTACTTCAAGGCCCACAGCCTGCCAGGCTATGATACCTGTTCTGACTCTCAGCCAAGTGAGGGATCTTTTTCTCTCACCAGACCAGCTTGTCCCCTCTGTGAGACCAGACTGCAGATGAGAGACGAAAGAACACAGTCCTCTTCAGTTTAGCTCTGTCCCCAGTGAGGGATCTTTCTCTCACCAGACCAGCCTGTCCCCTCTGTGAGACCAGACCACAGATGAGAAACGAAAGAAACCCCCCCATTTTCCACTGTTAACAGCTTAAGTCAGAATCTCCTCACACATCTCTGGAAACTGATTGGCTATAACCCTCTCTAAGCATTATGGGGATTGTAGGCTGTCTACTTTCTACTGCCAACAGGTCTCTCCTGGGACTAGGCCGCACTAGGCCTTGAACCCAGTCCTGCACAGATCATGACACAAGCCTTGGGGAAGCTTGGAGACTGTTTAAAATAACAATCCTAGAAGCTCAGAAAAAATATATACCACAGGTTAGGAAAGGCATAAATAGGTATAGAAAAAGGCCTGCATGGTTAATAGGGTTGCCAAGTCACGGCAGGGGATCGTAGGTCTTCACAGAATCCTTGCCACGGGGACAGCGAGACGCGTTGCACCCGACGGCGCCAGGATCTGCCGCTACGTGTCACTCTAGCAACAGGGCTCCAAACAGCCCCGTTGCCAAAGCGACGCATAGCATCATGTCCTGGCAACGGCGGTGCAATGCGTCTCGCCGTCCCCGCGGCAAGGATTCTGTGAAGACATGCAGATCCCCCGCCGCGATTTGGCGAGATTTGGCAGGCCTAATGGTTAACGAACTAAGTGATGGAAGCTGTAAAAGGTAAGAAGGATTCCTTTAAGCAGTGGAAAGCTTGTCTCAGTGAGGTTGATAAAAGGGAACACAGACTGTAGCAAATAAAATGCAAGTCTGTGATCAGGCAGGCAAAAAGGGAATATGAGGAGCATATTGCAAAAAACATAAAGAGCATCAATAAAACTTTCTTCAAATACATCAGAAGCAGGAAACCAGCCAGGGAGGCAGTGGGGCCCTTGGATGACCAAGGGGTAAAAGGAGTACTGAAGGATGATAGGGAAATGGCTGAGAAGCTAAATGCATTTTTTGCCTCCGTCTTCACTGTGGAAGATGAGAGGTGCTTGCCCACTCCAGAGCCGCTGAGTTCGGGAGGGGTGTTGAAAGACCTGAGTCAGATTGAGGTGACGAGAGAGGAGGTCCTAAAACTGATAAACAACTTAAAAACTGATAAATCACCAGGCCCAGATGGCATACATCCAAGAGTTCTGAAAGAACTCAATTGTGAACTTGTGGATCTCCTGACAAAAATATGTAATCTCTCCTTAAAATCAGCCTCCATTCCTGAGGACTGGAAGGTAGCTAATGTCACTCCCATCTTTAAAAAGGGTTCCAGAGGAGATCCGGGAAATTACAGGCCTGTCAGTCTGACGTCGATACCGGGTAAATTGGTGGAAACCATTATTAAGGAAAGAATTAGTAGGCACATAGATGAACAAAACCTATTGAGGCAGACTCAACATGGGTTCTGTAAGGGAAGATCTTGTCTCACTAACCTGTTAATGTTCTTTGAGGGGGTGAACAAACATGTGGACAAGGGGGATCCAATAGATATTGTTTACCTTGACTTCCAGAAAGCTTTTGATAAAGTTCCTCATCAAAGGCTCCTAAGCAAGCTCAAAAATCATGGGATAAAAGGACAAGTCCTTTTATGGATCAAAAACTGGCTAATTAATAGAAAACAGAGAGTGAGTATAAATGGGCAGTTCTCCCAGTGGAGGGGTGTAAGCAGTGGGGTACCACAGGGATCAGTACTTGGTCCACTGCTTTTTAACTTGTTCATTAATGATTTGGAGTTGGGAGTAAGCAGTGAAGTGGCTAAATTTGCGGATGATACGAAGTTGTTCAGGGTGGTGAAAACCAGTGAGGATTGTGAGGCACTCCAAAGGGATCTGTCAAAGTTGGGCGAGTGGGCGTCAACATGGCAAATGGGGTTCAATGTGGCCAAGTGCAAGGTGATGCACATTGGAGCCAAAAATCCTAACTATAAATACACGTTGATGGGGTCTGAACTGGCAGAGACAGATCAAGAGAGAGATCTTGGAGTTGTAGTAGATAACTCACTGAAAATGTCGAGACAGTGTGTGACTGCAATAAAGAAGGCCAATGCTATGCTGGGGATTATTAGGAAGGGTATTGTAAACAGATCAGCCAATATCATAATGCCGCTATATAAATCAATGGTGCGACCTCATCTGGAATACTGTGTGCAATTCTGGTCACCACACCTTAAAAAGGATATTATAGCTTTGGAAAAAGTGCAGAAAAGAGCAACTCGAATGATAAAAGGGTTGGAACACTTTCCCTATGAGGAACGGTTAAGGCGCTTAGGGCTCTTTTCCAAATGAACCAGTAGTGAGAGAAACGCCCTGGGCATATGCTCAAAGGCACTCTACAATGTTCCCTCTAAGCTGTGGAGTCTAGTGAGCAAAAATTCTACTTTGTGAGTTACTGACATTAAAGTTGTGAGCCAGCGATTTGGCTGCTGCATAAATTAGTTTGTTCTGGAGCCATCCTTCCTGAGCTAAGAGAAAAATGTGTGGTAAAGGTAAAGGTTCCCTTGCTCGAAAGCCAGTCGAATCTGACTCTAGGGTTGTGGTGCTCATCTCCGTTTCAAAGCCGAAGAGCCAGCGCTGTCCGAAGACTTTTCCATGGTCATGTGGCCGGCATGACTAAACACACAGGCACACGGAACGCTGTTACCTTCCCACCGAAGTGGTACCTATTGATCTACTTGCAATTTCTTGCTTTCGAACTGCTAGGTTCATTCCTAGGACTGGAAGGTAGCTAATGTCATTGCCTGTGTGGTAGAAATGCATCCAATACAAGACATTTTTAGAAGATGAGTTACATCCAGCAAGGAACAAAGAGCGAACTTCCAAATGAACCAGTAGTGAGAGAAAGGCCCTGGGCATGTGCTCAAAGGCATTCTATTATGTGTCTATGTTATGGATCTTAGACGGCCAAGCGGAGGCTTGCTTTCAGCCAGAAGCTAAAGAGGCTTCACTTTGGGATTATGGGCCAGGGTCTCATTTAAACTGTGCTGCAAAAGGTGCAAAGCAGATCCGTAGCTGTGCTAACTAGGAGCACATTGCTAATTAGACATAACGTGGGGTGCCCCAGTTTAGACGAGACGCTGCGAGTAAGTCCCACGGTAAAGGCTTTTTTTAGCTTCACGGTCAGATCAGTCATAAAAGCCAATCCTGGGGGTGGCGATGGCTCAAGCGAAGAGTTACTCGCTCCCGGTGCCGTCCCGCCCTCCCCGCCATGGCGCCCCGCACGTAATCTGACGTCTATGACGGGACGCTGTTCGTTTTCACCGCCGGGGACAGACAGCGAATCGAATCCGGAAGCGGAGGCAGCTCAGAAGAGAGGGGCTCGAGGAGATCTGAACGAGTCCGTTTAGGCTCCGCTCACTCTTCCCTGCCCTCCCTCGAGAAGCATCGGCTGGTCCCCTGCCGCGCCTCCTGCCCGCCGACCGAGTAGCGCGGGGAGCAGGCCGCGCTGAACTCCGGCCTGAGGCGGGCAGAAATACGGCGAAAGGGCGCAGGCTGTGTTGGCATGTAGCAGCCAGCGGGTTATGTGGTGAGGGTGAGCCGTCCGTGTGAGCAGTTAGGGGGCGAGGCTGCATGAGGGGTGGCCGCGCGTCTCTGGCCTCTGTCGAAGGAGGGAGAGTCGGGTATCGAGGGAAAAGTTAAAGTTACGGAACGTGCAGTGTTCCCTCTAAGCTGAGTTAGTGTGAGCTAGCTCACAGTTTTTTAGCCTCCAGCTCACACATTTTTGTCTTAGCTTAGGAAGGGTGACTGATTTATGCAGTAGCCAAATCGCTCGCTCACAGCTTTAATGCCAGTCGCTCACCAAGTAGAATTTTTGCTCACAAGACTCCACAGCTTAGAGGGAGCATTGGTTAGGGGAAAGGGGAGATGAGGACTATTCGGATGGGAAAGGGCGCCCTCTCAGCCCTTGGTGCTCAGTGCTTAGAAATATTGATTTTAAAGTTTTATTTCTAACATTGATGTACTTGCCTTTTCTGAAGCTCCCGGAGTCGTTCATGGAGAACAAACCCTTTTTTAAAACATTAGAATTAAACACTAACACATTAAATTGAATAAATGATAAAAAGCGCGTAAAAGCACTGAATTTCATTTGTTTGTATCTCACAGGAGTAATATGTTACTTATGTAGCCTCCTTTGTTGTGCCTAAAACATTCAGTAGTTGGGAGTTGTTGCAATATTGGGGTCCGCATTCACATTTCAGGCTAAAAGGATTTAGCTGATACACACATATATATATACACACAGAGATACTTAATTTGCATAACGCATATATGTCAGAGTTCAACTTTTCTTGGTGTAGTATTTGAAATACCTTGGCTCAGAGAGTTTCTTAAACTTGGTTTAGAGCAGAGTATAAGCCTTGGCGGAGAGGGTGGGGTATAAATCCAATAAATAATTAAATCTAACAGTGACTTGCTGCACTGTCAAGAATTGGAAATGTGGGTAGAGCCAGAAGTTGAGATGATGCAGCCTCAAGGGGGAAAAAGGCTATTTGCAATGGCTTCCCAGTGTATAAACATTGTGATAGAAAGAAACGGTATTTGAACTCATCCTTGAATGGCAGAGAATAGAGAATCACCTTAGTTCCCTGGGCTGCTGAATGTTTCTTAACATTAATTTCTGGCTTTGTTACAGGTAGGATGATAGAATCATAGAATGTTAGAGTTGGAAGGGACCTTGTAGGTCATCTAGTCCAATCCCCTGCACTCTGCAGGAGAATAGCCGAAAGATAGCCCTACAACATACCCGAAAGATGGTCATCCAGCCTCCGCTTGAAAACATCCTGCGAAGGAGCATCCACCACCTCCCAAGGCAGTCTGTTCCACTGCTCAACCACTCTTACAGTTAGGAAGTTTCCCCTGATATTTAGCCGGTAACGACTCCCTTGTCATTTCCACGTATTAGATCTAGTCTTGCAATCCGGAGCAAGAGAGAATAGATCCGCTCCATCTTCTACATGATAGCCCTTCAAATACTTGAAGACTGCAATCAGGTTTGATAAACTATTGCTCTGATTCATTAGAAGTGTTCTTAAGAGTAGATTCAGAGAACTTTGTATGGATCTATCTGATTTAAGAAGCACTGAAGGCTTGGTAGAACATGAGCTGTTAGACAAGTACTTTTTTTAAAAAAAAAAGCCTAGGATAATGTGAAGCACAGACATAATGCGTGGAATTAGACTGGTAACTGATCTTGCATCCAGCTGGTCTTGTCCAAAAGCAGAAGCTGATAATGAAACTAGGTTGAGTTTGGAAAAAACTTGATGGAAAAGAGGAAGCTGCATGACACACGCAGATGACATGATGACCACTGAGTAGGCAGCAAGATGCAAAACATGGCTAGTAGTTGGCTGGTTACTAAAGGAATAATAGGAGGTTATGAGGGTCACTGGTGTTGGAATGAAAGAAGACATACTAATGTGTGGAAATGAGATACAGGCTTTATAACTGGTCTTTTCTTCTCATTACTAGATGAAAGTAATTAAACATTCTGAGGAGGTCCTGAAGGTAGCCCTGATCTCCAAGGACACACAGCTTGTGAGGCTTTATGACAAGTTTGAGCCCAAGGAGAAGCTTTTGCTAAATGAAGCATTTCAACCGGACAGCCTTCTTTTTAAGCCCATCACACTACATTCTGATTCAGATTGGATCTCCTCTCACCCAGAACCCACCCAAGATTTTGCACAGTTTTATCGCCACCCTTGCAGAAACATACCATCTCCCCAGAAAAGTCACATTTATATCCAGCCCATTGGTAATGCTTACCTGATCAGTTAAAGAAATGAAATGTGTTACTGGTGAATATGCAAACCAAGTTATGTGAGTCTTTAATAAGCCTCTTTCATGAAATGCACATGTTTTAAACAGTGCTTGACACATTTTCGTTGGCTTGAGGAGTTAGCGTAAATTTTTAGGAGCCAGTCTGATTTTTCAGCCTTCAGGATTTTGCATTGGAATGATCACATTTTTCTAATTATTGCTACCTCAAAGCATAATCCTGGCTCTACAGTTTCTTATTATTTTATTAAAGCTATGACAAAAGTGGTGATGTATATAAATAAATACTGGAATAATGCTGGTTGTCCTCACTACAGCAAAAAGCTAACTTCTAACCCTATTTTAACCTCTCCCACAGTTCTAATAATTACATTATTGCCTTTTAAGCTTCATATAATGGAAAATTGGAGCCAGTATAGAAAGCAACTGTTTAAGAAGTAGATATATCTACCACCACTGAAGGGTCTAAAGTTAACATATAAAGCAGCAGTGGGCAAGAACTTCATGAACATGTTTTTTTAATGTCATACAACAAAACACATTCTGATGTGAAATAATAAGCTTTGTACTTCTGAAGATTTCCGAGATACCCTAAAATGAAATAATTTGTGGAAATACCAGGCACCATGGCAACCTGGCATTTGGGATTTGTCAACATCTGCACCTGAGAAATTGGTGGTTTTATAGACTTTCTACCCTGAGGGAGCTGCGGTGGCTCAAGTGGTTAAGGCGCTGAACTGCAGTCTGTGGAAGGTCGGTAGTTCAGCAGTTCGAGACCCGGGTGCCGCATGATGGAGTGAGCTCCCATCTCTAGTTCCAGCTCCTGCCAACCTAGCAGTTCGAAAGCAAGAAATTGCCAGTAGATAAATAGGTACCACTTCAGTGGGAAGGTAACAGCATTCCATGCGCCTCGGTGTTTAGTTATGCCGGCCACATGACCACGGAAACATCTTCAGACAGCGCTGGCTCTTCGGCTTGGAAACTGAGATGAGCACCGCAACCCTAGAGTCGGATTCGACTCGCTTTTGAGCAAGGGAACCTTTACCTTTACCTTGAGGGAGCCTTTTCTACACTGATTTGTGTGGTTAAGAATCTCTGCATGTCTGCCACATAGGTTACAGGGCATATTGTAAGGTGCACACTGAGTTCATGCAGGACATCTGCCAGGTCTTGGTTCTTACCAGGACTTGCATGAACTGAGTGTTATCTAAAACGCATGCACATTCTCCTGCCAATTGCAGGGGAAGACTGCAGTGGTGAGCAAGCTTTGAACTTTTCTTGATGTAGTCTGATAAATTTCCAGAGAACCCCAGCATTTTATGGAGCGATTCTATACTTAGAACTCTCAGGGTATGTTGTTGGTTCAACCTTTAACTGTCTGTGAACCAAATCCTCAAAGCCCTGGACCTATAAACATTTATTAATATGCTTTACTTGTGAGAATATCGTTTTTTGAGTTGGTTAAGCCACTTATGATAACTAAATATATGCAAAAGTGCTTGTGAGATTAAGAAAACTCTCTTGCTTCCATTTATTGCCCATGCTTAAAGCAAAGTGGCCAAAGCTAAACATGGAAGAATGTTGTTCATTGTAATTAACATTTTAGTATTTTACTTTTCCCAAATGAAAACTGCTACAGCAATGCAAATTGCTGTTTCCAGTATGATTTAGAGAAAAGTGGGACAGTGCTGGCAACAGTGATATATTTACTTATTTATTTAAACATTAATACTCTGCCTTTCTTTCTTTTGCTCAAGGTGGTTTACAAGCAGTAATTAATACATTACAAGTTTATACCAAGTAAAAAATACCCCTTGATACCCCCCCCCCAGTAATTCTACCCTTGAGTTATGTGAGCACAAATCACCTTTGCATTCAAACCATTGGATCCTGCAGATTACAACGGTGGTATACATTTATGGTCTGAGGGTTTTTTTTAGATGGCACCATGCTGTTTTGTAGGTCCTTTATTGAGAAAGATAGATGTAATATCTAAATCCCATCTTAGATCAATGGGATTAAAGGACTGTGTTCTTAGAAGTACCAAGCTTTTTTAGGATTGCATCCAAGATATTTAATATTCTGTATTCATACATAAGCAATAATACTACCATAGATATTACCCAAATGACATGACTTGTTCCATCCTTGTCTGCTTTTGTGTAATACAGTGTTCCAGAGCAGAGTTCTCTATCTGCTGTGAGAGCTGCAGGTCCATTGAGGGAGTGACTTTTGAGATATTTAGAGGCTTTGGGCTAGTACTTGCATATGTGGGCTTTTCTGCATTCTGCTGTTAAATTCCTGTTTCTTCGGGTTCCCCCCCTGTTCTGCACATGTTTTGCTCCCTCTAGTGGTCGATTCAATATCAAACAGCTTTATTGCATCCTATATACTGGAAATAAAGCTGTTTGATATCAAATCAACCACTAGAGGGAGCAAAAACACATGTGGAATGGGGGAAAACCCCTAAAAAACCCAAGAATTTAACCACCACTAAAATAAGAATACAGAGAAGCCTTATATATCCTGTAATTGACCAGTGTTTTGAGGACTGGACACTATTTCACAGTACACCTAGGAAACTAAAAAAAAGTTGATAAGGCAGAAGGAGATCCAGAGCAAGTTATAGATGCAGTATAGAGAAAATTTACTGTAGTTGATGTCCCATAGACATTTGCATACAAATACTTAAGTCCTACTGCAGTATATATAATTTAAGCATGTTAGTGTGTTCTGGGTTATACTGTATGTATGCAGCCATAAATCTCAGGATGCACGCAGGCCCTTCCCTGCTCACTGTTTAGAATGCTGGTCTGGCATTGTGACTCTTTTCTCCACCTCCACCTAGGGTCATACCCAGTGGGATTTAAGTACACAGATGAACTTTGCAGTTTTCATTGAATACAGTAGTAGTTGGACTTGCCTAAGTATTTCTGGATCATGGCCTTGAATTCATTTAATGTCTCACTATCTCATTAAAATTTGGGCTTTGACCAGCCATGCCTTTTCAGTGTCAGTTTCCAACTTTAGAAATTGTATTGATGAAGTATCTGATACAGCTGTTCTGAAGACAGGGAAGGTAAAGATTGTAAAGCATTTTCATAACTCCCTTCTTTTCTGAACTTTCTTTGTTAGGTTCTTTTGGAGATTCTACAGTTACTACGGATGTCTACATGAGATGGGTGAAGGATTACTGTGAAGCCTTTTACAATGGCCTGACTGTAAGAATCTTGGGGCCAGAGCCGGTTTTGCACACAAATTGTGCTTTTCGAGTCAATGAATATACACACAATCTACAGATTCATGCAGGTACTAACCATAGATAAAGTACTGCTGGACCGGCCATTTCTTCATGACTTAAATCAGTTTTGCCAGTTCCGCTTTATAAATCTGAGTGGCTTTAAAGTAGGATGGCATTTTTGTTGGCAGAAAAAAGAATAGATATACATATTACTGTTAATCAGAAGACATATTTTAAAGAAGTATCTCATGTATTATTTTTCAAATTCTTGTTGCATTTATGTCAGCTTCATGATTTTGAGCCTTTGGGATTGAAACCCCTGCTGTCCTGTTGTGTTACTCTTGATCATAAAGAAAGAATTGAGGTTGGCACTTCAACCTTATGGACAGCAATTGTACCAGTGCAAGCCTTGACCTAAATAGCCTGATTTCATCAGATCTCATAAACTAAGCAGGGTTGGCCTTGGTCAGTATTTGGAAGTGAGACCTCCATGGAACACCAAGGTTGTGACGCAGAGGCAGGCAATGTCAAGCCACCTCTGAACATCTCTTGCCTTGAAAACCCCATGAGATCACCCTAAGTCAGTTGTGACTTGACAACAAAGGGGGGGGGGAAGCTAGATGACATCTTAAGTGGGCACATTGTAGAATTATACTTTGTGTTGCTAGTCCCTGATACCACAGATTTGCTAATTTATCAGGCAATGTGCTTTTAAAAGCGGCTCGATGTGCAGAAACTGGCAGGGCAGATCATGTTGACTCTGAAAGATCTCACTTGCTAGCATCTGCATATCAAGCTAAAAGCCACACATAATTTTAAAACAATATGACCCTTTGCCTTATTCTGTATTTCTGTCTCATCACAAATGTTTTGTTCTTGGTTCCAGTTCTTT